GTTCTCAATGCTATCTCACTAATATGGGAAAGTTAGACTAACTAAAACAGTTTTTTTGTCACTCAAACAGTCATTTATTGAGTAAAACTCTACTAATATGAATTGGCAGGTAATTTTTTTTATGTTTTTACTGTCTTTTTTCAGCTTTTCTGGTGCTTTTGACACTGTGGTTGCATGCAATCACAGCATTGGATGTTTCTCTACTGATATAGATGTGTGTTATTACTTTGGATCCCCTTACAGTGGGATCAAATCTGCATGTTTGCTATTTCCTCAAAGCTTTCTCACTCTGTATTTATTCCTTCTTGTTGCTTAGAGATGCAAATATTATTTTTTACAAACATTTTCACTAATATGGGCAACTAAGACTTTTTTTGTCACTCAAACAGTAATTTAATGACGGTCCCTATGTAAAGCTCTATTAATATGAATGGTAAGGTACAGTTTTTTACGTTTTTACTGTCTTTTTTGCGGCTTTCACACCAGCGCTTTCCCCTTTCTAGCTCCTAGCGAGAGCTTTTCTGGTTCAGCTCCGGTTTCCCTTTTCAGCTCCCGCTCTGTTCACACCGCCCAGAGCTGCCGCTGCTGCGTCATGACGTCACAGTTTACGTCGCTGATTTTCTCCCCAACGGAGCTCACAACAACAACGGGGGGGGGACTGCGTCGGGTCGATGATCGTGTTGCTTTTAATCATACGAAGCCAGATTAAATTAAATAACGACTTCTCCAACCTTATACTTTTCTCCAGAGTGCCGTGGTTCATTGTTTATTAATGTGTTTCATTTACCGACCGCTGCAGTGCTGGCTGCTCTTCCACGGGAGTGTATTCTCCCGTTAGCTCCGGGTTAGCTCACACGGCTCTAAAGTATTCACTGTCTGACTGTCACACAAGCAGCTGATACATATCCCCAGTTCCCCTTAAGTGAATGTGTGTCAGTCTGAATTGACGCTGTTTGGCATCACAACGCTGTTATGAAAGTTTCTCTGGTATAACATGGGTGATGTTAGCATAGCAACCGAAGCTAAACTGACTACTTGCTAAGCCGTTTTCTACAGGCACTTTTTACCGACGTATTTTTCATTATGATTCTACTTGTGATAGTCGGACATGACAACCTGTGCAGCCCATGTATTGATTCCATCCGATAGCTGCTATAATAACAAACAAAACGTCTGCCTGCTCTCCACAATGATCAATAACAGCGAACGGATGGTCAAAGTAAGGTACAAATAAACAGAATCACACGAAGCCTGGTTAGTGTTGCCTGACTTTATAAAGTGTTGCCTTCTAGTCACTTTGCTCAGCGCTACTGCTTGTAGGCAGGCATGACGAGACTCTTCAGTCGACCCATGTTCAGGGGAGGTGGGTTTAGTTTCCTGCACGCCTCAACGTAAGAGAGACGTAAGCGACGCCGCGTCATAGCTCCGAAGCTCTTGCCTCTAGACCGACAATTTTTTGGAGCTGGAAGTGAACCGGATTCCGGAGCTATGACGCGACGCCGCTGCGGTGTGAAGAGGAAAAACGATCACAGATGCCCCTTTCACACCGGCGCTTTTCCAGCTCCGGCTCGGAGCTGGAAAAGCGCCGGTGTGAAAGGGGCATCTGCGACTTTTTCTGGTGCTTTTGACACTGTGGTTGCATGCAAACACAGCACTGGATGTTTCTCTACTGATATACATGTGTGTTATTACTTTGGATTCCCTTACAGTGGGATCAAATCTGCATGTTTCCTATTTTCTCACTGAATTAGCCAAGGGTTTTGAGACTGAAATTGTGTTTTGGTCACTAAAACAGTCATTTATTGACGGTTCCTAACAGAAAACCCTTTTATTTGAACGGGCAGGTACATTTTAAAATGTTTTCTAAGTATTTTGAGACATTTTGAACTTAAAAAGTATGAAGTTTGATATTTTCTCAATGCTTTCTGACTAATATGGGTTAGTTAGACTAAAACAGTATTGTTGTCACTCAAACAGTAACTTATTGACGGTCCCTAGGTAAAACTGGGCAGGTACAATTGTTACGTTTTAACTGTCTTTTTGAGACCTTTTGTGGTACTTTTGACATCGTGGTTGCATGCAAACACAGCATTGGATGTTACACATGTTGGTGTCTTACTTTGGATCCCCTTAAAGCGGTGTAAAACCTGCATGTTTGCTATTTTCTGAATGACTTTCACACTCTTCTTGCTTAGAGATGCAGATCTGTGTTTTCCTCTCGTGTCATTCCTCCTCCCCCCCCGTCGCTCCCTCGGGTTCTTCCCTGGGAAAAGACTCTGTTTTCCTGAAGCCGGAGAGAAATCTGGTTATTTTGGGAGAACACGTCATGGCTTTGAGCCGCAGCCCAGAAGCTCTCCTTCTTTCCAGCTTGCCCTCGCTGACTTGTTGCAGCTCTGTTTACCTTCTTCTCCGAGACATTTAAAAACATGCTCGCTGTGGAGAAGAGAATAAAGTTGGTCTTGTTTCAAACACTATTAAATGTCTTCATTAAATCTGCCTGTTCCCTGTTTTCTGAATGACTTTTTTTGCATCATTTTCACTAATATCTCCAAGTTAGACAAATGTTTTTTTAACTCAAATTGGGTTTGGGTCATTTATTAACAGTCCCTAAAGGAAATCCCTTTTTTATATACTTTTAGTTATTTTTGGGGGCATTTTGGGTTCATTTGTAGTAGTTTTTAAAATCTGGTTTCATGCAAACACTGATAAATGTCTGTCAATATGTTTTTCTTATTATTTGTATGACTTGTTTCACAGCACAGGACTGTTTACCTTCCTCTCTGGGACATTTAAAAACCTGCTCGCTGCGAAAAGGAGGCGATAGTTTTTCTTGTTTCTGCTGCAAAATGCTTGTAATTTGTGGTTCTTCTTTAAAATTGTAGTTACGTCCAAAACACTATTACATGTCTTCAGATGTAATTCAAGTGGGCTTGAATCTGCATGTTCCCTATTTTCTGAATGACTTTTTAAGGACTGTCCACTCCAAGTAGGGAATGAGTCCTTACCCCAAGTGAAGGAGTTCAAGTATCTCGGGGTCTTGTTCTCGAGTGAGGGAACAATGGAGCGTGAGATGGGCCGGAGCATCGGAGAATCGGAGCGGTACTGCAGTCGCTTTACCGCACTGTGTGACGAAAAGAGAGCTGAGCCAGAAGCTCTCTGTCTACCGGGCCATTTCCGTCCCTACCCTCACCTATGGTCATGAAGGATGGGTCATGACCCAAAGAACCAGATCGCGGATACAAGCGGCCGAGATGGGTTTTCTCCGCAGGGTGGCTGGCGTCTCCCTTAGGGATAAGGTGAGAGGTTCAGTCATCTGGGAGGGACTCAGAGTTGAACGGCTCCAGTTGAGGTGGTTCGGGCACCTAGTAAGGATGCCACCTGGGCGCCTCTCTAGGGAGGTGTTCCAGGCACGTCCAGCTGGGAGGAGACCGAGGGGTAGACCTAGGACCAGGTGGAGGGATTATATCTCTTGGCTGGCCTGGGAGCGCCTTGGGATCCCCCAGTCAGAGCTGGTTGATGAGGGGAAAGGAACGTTTGGGGCTCTCTGCTGGAACTGATACCTCCGAGACCCGACCACGGATAAGAGGGAGAAGATGGATGGACTTTTGAAGCATCATTTTCACTAATATCTCCAAGTTAGCCAAATGTTTTTAAACTAAAATGGTCATTTATTAACGGCCATTTTGAGACATTTTGTAGTAGTTTTTACAATCTGGTTACATTCAAACAGATAAATGTCTTTACATATATTTGTATTATTATTGTTATGGCTTGTTTAACAGCACAGCACTGTTTGTCTCCCTCTCAGACACATGTTGCCTTAAAATAGGAATATTTGAATGAAAAAGTCTTGTTTTTTTCGATAGCTTCTTTACAACAGGACACTTGTTTTTAAATCAATGCAGCATTGTATTAATGGAGTATGACACACCTCTGTACTGGAAATATACTGGATTTTAATTCAAGGAAACAGTGTAATAATACCAGTTTGGAGTACTTTAACTACATGATATGGAAGCTATGGAAAAAACCTCCATACGACACATTTATTGTAATTTTTAAATAAATATATTTTCCCTCATGTGGGAAAATGTAAGCATTGGGTGGTGAATGGTAAGAATGGTTTAATGACGGTCCCTAAGTGAAGCCCTGAGATGAACAGCCTTTCTATGAATGGAGGAGAGGAAGCTGCTCTCAGTGAAAAGGAGAATACATGTGTGTTTGTGTTGTTCCTCGTGCACACAGCTTCATCGCAGAGCCTCGTGGAGGGTGTTTGGCTGCAGGAAGACAACAGGTACTCAGGTCAAAATCATGAATGAAAAACATCGCTTTCACGAGAATCGCGTGTTTTTGCATGAAATCGCACGTTTTTCACGCCTCCATTCATGATTGCATGCGCGTATTTGGAAACATCACACCGTGTTTCACCTTAAACATGAACCCACGCGCATAACCTTGAGCCGGTGCGCGCGCTGGAGACAACAGGTTCCTTACGCACGACTCTTTGCGCGTTCACGTGTCCTCATGTTTACAGGCAGAAACAGGGTTTTAATGTGTGCACGATTTCTGTTGTGTTTGGGTCAAATCTGACCGGTTTACTACTTTCATCAAATCATAGATATTGTGTTAAGAACAATAGTAACCCAAATTAAATGTGTCTGTGACTCAGATGTGCAAATATTAGCCATAAAGGGTAAGCCGAATCAGAGGGTGGGTCATAAAATATCTTAAATGTTAAAAAAATATAAGGTCAAATGATGCTCCTTACACTTAATAAATAATAATAAACCGTTTTTCTAATGGAAATCAGCAGCAACCCAAATAATAAGGAATTTGAAACAGGTTTGTGTGCACGCTTGTTGCTGAATATCTGGATTGGATCCATAACGAGCATATGTGTGTGTGTGTGTGTGTGTGTGTGTGTGTGTGTGTGTGTGTGTGTGTGTGTGTGTCCTCAGAGTGAGCGCACACACACACGTCAGCGCGAGGAGGGCTCTGAATGTGACAGTCCAGACAGCCGCGGCAGAGAGAGCACGCGGAAAGGTGAGGAGCGCAGCGGGGGGGGGAGGGCAACACAATGCCAGAAGAGCCAGCTCACCTGCAGACGTGACACGGAGAAACGAAGAAGAAGTAAAAAGAAAAGACAAAGAAAAAGGAGGAAAAAGACGCGAAAAAGCCAAATTACGCGCAGCGGGGAAGGAGCGGTAGAGGAGCGTTGGAGGAGCGCAGAGAAGCGGCGGCGCGTTGAGGAACCTGGGGAACCATGACCGTGGTTCCCGGGGAGAACCTTGATGAGACTGTGGCTCTGGACCCGCAGCAGAGCACGAGGAACCAGGACTGCTGCTGCGAGCGCGTACTCATCAACATCTCGGGGCTGCGCTTCGAGACGCAGCTCCAGACGCTCGCGCGGTTTCCACAAACGCTACTGGGGAACCCGAAGAAAAGGATGCGTTTTTTCGATCCTTTACGCAACGAGTACTTCTTCGACCGCAACAGACCGAGTTTTGACGCGATTCTTTACTACTATCAGTCCGGGGGGAGGCTGCGGAGACCCGTTAATGTTCCCGTGGACATCTTCATGGAGGAGATCAAGTTCTACGAGTTAGGAGAAGAAGTGGTGGAGAACTTCAAGGAGGACGAGGGCTTCATAAAAGAGGAGGAGCGCCCCCTGCCGGAGAACGACTTCCAGCGCCAGGTCTTTGTCACTCATTACGAAAACTAAACCCATTGTGACCTGCTGGTGTTCAGGTGTATATCAGTATGTAGTGTCTCTACTTTAAAGAGTCCTCTCCTGCTGATGTTCAGGTGTATATCAGTATGTAGTGTCTCTACTTTAAAGAGTCCTCTCCTGCTGGTGTTCAGGTGTATATCAGTGTGTAGTGTCTCTACTTTAAAGAGTCCTCTCCTGCTGGTGTTCAGGTGTATATCAGTGTGTAGTGTCTCTACTTTAAAGAGTCCTCTCCTGCTGATGTTCAGGTGTATATCAGTGTGTAGTGTCTCTACTTTAAAGAGTCCTCTCCTGCTGGTGTTCAGGTGTATATCAGTGTGTAGTGTCTCTACTTTAAAGAGTCCTCTCCTGCTGGTGTTCAGGTGCATATCAGTGTGTAGTGTCTCTACTTTAAAGAGTCCTCTCCTGCTGGTGTTCAGGTGTATATCAGTATGTAGTGTCTCTACTTTAAAGAGTCCTCTCCTGCTGGTGTTCAGGTGTATATCAGTGTGTAGTGTCTCTACTTTAAAGAGTGCTCTCCTGCTGGTGTTCAGGTGTATATCAGTATGTAGTGTCTCTACTTTAAAGAGTCCTCTCCTGCTGATGTTCAGGTGTATTTCAGTATGTTGTGTCTCTACTTTAAAGAGTCCTCTCCTGCTGATGTTCAGGTGTATATCAGTATTTAGTGTCTCTACTTTAAAGAGTTCTCTCCTGCTGATGTTCAGGTGGATATCAGTATGTAGTGTCTCTACTTTAAAGAGTCCTCTCCTGCTGATGTTCAGGTGTATTTCAGTATGTAGTGTCTCTACTTTAAAGAGTCCTCTCCTGCTGATGTTCAGGTGTATATCAGTATGTAGTGTCTCTACTTTAAAGAGTCCTCTCCTGCTGATGTTCAGGTGTATATCAGTATGTAGTGTCTCTACTTTAAAGAGTCCTCTCCTGTGAGGTTCAGGTGTATATCAGTATGTAGTGTCTCTACTTTAAAGAGTCCTCTCCTGCTGATGTTCAGGTGTATATCAGTATGTAGTGTCTCTACTTTAAAGAGTCCTCTCCTGCTGATGTTCAGGTGTATATCAGTATGTAGTGTCTCTACTTTAAAGAGTCCTCTCCTGCTGATGTTCAGGTGTATATCAGTATGTAGTGTCTCTACTTTAAAGAGTCCTCTCCTGCTGATGTTCAGGTGTATATCAGTGCGTAGTGTCTCTACTTTAAAGAGTCCTCTCCTGCTGATGTTCAGGTGTATATCAGTATGTAGTGTCTCTACTTTAAAGAGTCCTCTCCTGCTGATGTTCAGGTGTATATCAGTATGTAGTGTCTCTACTTTAAAGAGTCCTCTCCTGCTGATGTTCAGGTGTGTATCAGTATGTAGTGTCTCTACTTTAAAGAGTCCTCTCCTGCTGATGTTCAGGTGTATATCAGTATGTAGTGTCTCTACTTTAAAGAGTCCTCTCCTGCTGATGTTCAGGTGTATATCAGTGTGTAGTGTCTCTACTTTAAAGAGTCCTCTCCTGCTGGTGTTCAGGTGTATATCAGTATGTAGTGTCTCTACTTTAAAGAGTCCTCTCCTGCTGATGTTCAGGTGCATATCAGTGTGTAGTGTCTCTACTTTAAAGAGTCCTCTCCTGCTGGTGTTCAGGTGTATATCAGTATGCAGTGTCTCTACTTTAAAGAGTCCTCTCCTGTGAGGTTCAGGTGTATATCAGTATGTAGTGTCTCTACTTTAAAGAGTCCTCTCCTGCTGGTGTTCAGGTGTATATCAGTGTGTAGTGTCTCTACTTTAAAGAGTCCTCTCCTGCTGGTGTTCAGGTGTATATCAGTGTGTAGTGTCTCTACTTTAAAGAGTCCTCTCCTGCTGATGTTCAGGTGTATATCAGTGTGTAGTGTCTCTACTTTAAAGAGTCCTCTCCTGCTGGTGTTCAGGTGTATATCAGTGTGTAGTGTCTCTACTTTAAAGAGTCCTCTCCTGCTGGTGTTCAGGTGCATATCAGTGTGTAGTGTCTCTACTTTAAAGAGTCCTCTCCTGCTGGTGTTCAGGTGTATATCAGTATGTAGTGTCTCTACTTTAAAGAGTCCTCTCCTGCTGGTGTTCAGGTGTATATCAGTGTGTAGTGTCTCTACTTTAAAGAGTGCTCTCCTGCTGGTGTTCAGGTGTATATCAGTATGTAGTGTCTCTACTTTAAAGAGTGCTCTCCTGCTGGTGTTCAGGTGTATATCAGTATGTAGTGTCTCTACTTTAAAGAGTCCTCTCCTGCTGATGTTCAGGTGTATATCAGTGCGTAGTGTCTCTACTTTAAAGAGTCCTCTCCTGCTGATGTTCAGGTGTATATCAGTATGTAGTGTCTCTACTTTAAAGAGTCCTCTCCTGCTGATGTTCAGGTGTATATCAGTATGTAGTGTCTCTACTTTAAAGAGTCCTCTCCTGCTGATGTTCAGGTGTATATCAGTATGCAGTGTCTCTACTTTAAAGAGTCCTCTCCTGCTGATGTTCAGGTGTATATCAGTATGTAGTGTCTCTACTTTAAAGAGTCCTCTCCTGCTGATGTTCAGGTGTATATCAGTATGTAGTGTCTCTACTTTAAAGAGTCCTCTCCTGCTGATGTTCAGGTGTATATCAGTATGTAGTGTCTCTACTTTAAAGAGTCCTCTCCTGCTGATGTTCAGGTGTATATCAGTATGCAGTGTCTCTACTTTAAAGAGTCCTCTCCTGCTGATGTTCAGGTGTATATCAGTATGTAGTGTCTCTACTTTAAAGAGTCCTCTCCTGCTGATGTTCAGGTGTATATCAGTGTGTAGTGTCTCTACTTTAAAGAGTCCTCTCCTGCTGGTGTTCAGGTGTATATCAGTGTGTAGTGTCTCTACTTTAAAGAGTCCTCTCCTGCTGGTGTTCAGGTGCATATCAGTGTGTAGTGTCTCTACTTTAAAGAGTCCTCTCCTGCTGGTGTTCAGGTGTATATCAGTATGTAGTGTCTCTACTTTAAAGAGTCCTCTCCTGCTGGTGTTCAGGTGTATATCAGTGTGTAGTGTCTCTACTTTAAAGAGTGCTCTCCTGCTGGTGTTCAGGTGTATATCAGTATGTAGTGTCTCTACTTTAAAGAGTGCTCTCCTGCTGGTGTTCAGGTGTATATCAGTATGTAGTGTCTCTACTTTAAAGAGTCCTCTCCTGCTGATGTTCAGGTGTATATCAGTGCGTAGTGTCTCTACTTTAAAGAGTCCTCTCCTGCTGATGTTCAGGTGTATATCAGTATGTAGTGTCTCTACTTTAAAGAGTCCTCTCCTGCTGATGTTCAGGTGTATATCAGTATGTAGTGTCTCTACTTTAAAGAGTCCTCTCCTGCTGATGTTCAGGTGTATATCAGTATGCAGTGTCTCTACTTTAAAGAGTCCTCTCCTGCTGATGTTCAGGTGTATATCAGTATGTAGTGTCTCTACTTTAAAGAGTCCTCTCCTGCTGATGTTCAGGTGTATATCAGTATGTAGTGTCTCTACTTTAAAGAGTCCTCTCCTGCTGATGTTCAGGTGTATATCAGTATGCAGTGTCTCTACTTTAAAGAGTCCTCTCCTGCTGATGTTCAGGTGTATATCAGTATGTAGTGTCTCTACTTTAAAGAGTCCTCTCCTGCTGATGTTCAGGTGTATTTCAGTATGTTGTGTCTCTACTTTAAAGAGTCCTCTCCTGCTGATGTTCAGGTGTATATCAGTATTTAGTGTCTCTACTTTAAAGAGTTCTCTCCTGCTGATGTTCAGGTGGATATCAGTATGTAGTGTCTCTACTTTAAAGAGTCCTCTCCTGCTGATGTTCAGGTGTATTTCAGTATGTAGTGTCTCTACTTTAAAGAGTCCTCTCCTGCTGATGTTCAGGTGTATATCAGTATGTAGTGTCTCTACTTTAAAGAGTCCTCTCCTGCTGATGTTCAGGTGTATATCAGTATGTAGTGTCTCTACTTTAAAGAGTCCTCTCCTGTGAGGTTCAGGTGTATATCAGTATGTAGTGTCTCTACTTTAAAGAGTCCTCTCCTGCTGATGTTCAGGTGTATATCAGTATGTAGTGTCTCTACTTTAAAGAGTCCTCTCCTGCTGATGTTCAGGTGTATATCAGTATGTAGTGTCTCTACTTTAAAGAGTCCTCTCCTGCTGATGTTCAGGTGTATATCAGTATGTAGTGTCTCTACTTTAAAGAGTCCTCTCCTGCTGATGTTCAGGTGTATATCAGTGCGTAGTGTCTCTACTTTAAAGAGTCCTCTCCTGCTGATGTTCAGGTGTATATCAGTATGTAGTGTCTCTACTTTAAAGAGTCCTCTCCTGCTGATGTTCAGGTGTATATCAGTATGTAGTGTCTCTACTTTAAAGAGTCCTCTCCTGCTGATGTTCAGGTGTATATCAGTATGTAGTGTCTCTAATTTAAAGAGTCCTCTCCTGCTGATGTTCAGGTGTATATCAGTATGTAGTGTCTCTACTTTAAAGAGTCCTCTCCTGCTGATGTTCAGGTGTATATCAGTATGTAGTGTCTCTACTTTAAAGAGTCCTCTCCTGCTGATGTTCAGGTGTATATCAGTATGTAGTGTCTCTACTTTAAAGAGTCCTCTTCTGCTGATGTTCAGGTGTATATCAGTACGTAGTGTCTCTACTTTAAAGAGTCCTCTTCTGCTGATGTTCAGGTGTATATCAGTACGTAGTGTCTCTACTTGAAAGAGTCCTCTCCTGCTGATGTTCAGGTGTATATCAGTATGTAGTGTCTCTACTTTAAAGAGTCCTCTCCTGCTGATGTTCAGGTGTATATCAGTATGTAGTGTCTCTACTTTAAAGAGTCCTCTCCTGTGAGGTTCAGGTGTATATCAGTATGTAGTGTCTCTACTTTAAAGAGTCCTCTCCTGTGAGGTTCAGGTGTATATCAGTATGTAGTGTCTCTACTTTAAAGAGTCCTCTCCTGCTGATGTTCAGGTGTATATCAGTATGTAGTGTCTCTACTTTAAAGAGTCCTCTCCTGCTGGTGTTCAGGTGGATATCAGTATGTAATGTCTCTACTTTAAAGAGTCCTCTCCTGCTGATGTTCAGGTGTATTTCAGTATGTAGTGTCTCTACTTTAAAGAGTCCTCTCCTGCTGATGTTCAGGTGTATATCAGTATGTAGTGTCTCTACTTTAAAGAGTCCTCTCCTGCTGGTGTTCAGGTGTATATCAGTATGCAGTGTCTCTACTTTAAAGAGTCCTCTCCTGTGAGGTTCAGGTGTATATCAGTATGTAGTGTCTCTACTTTAAAGAGTCCTCTCCTGTGAGGTTCAGGTGTATATCAGTATGTAGTGTCTCTACTTTAAAGAGTCCTCTCCTGCTGATGTTCAGGTGTATATCAGTATGTAGTGTCTCTACTTTAAAGAGTCCTCTCCTGCTGATGTTCAGGTGTATATCAGTATGTAGTGTCTCTAATTTAAAGAGTCCTCTCCTGCTGATGTTCAGGTGTATATCAGTATGTAGTGTCTCTACTTTAAAGAGTCCTCTCCTGCTGATATTCAGGTGTATATCAGTATGTAGTGTCTCTACTTTAAAGAGTCCTCTCCTGCTGGTGTTCAGGTGTATATCAGTATGTAGTGTCTCTACTTTAAAGAGTCCTCTCCTGCTGATGTTCAGGTGTATATCAGTATGTAGTGTCTCTACTTTAAAGAGTCCTCTCTTGTGAGGTTCAGGTGTATATCAGTATGTAGTGTCTCTACTTTAAAGAGTCCTCTCCTGCTGATGTTCAGGTGTATATCAGTATGTAGTGTCTCTACTTTAAAGAGTCCTCTCCTGCTGATGTTCAGGTGTATATCAGTATGTAGTGTCTCTACTTTAAAGAGTCCTCTCCTGCTGATGTTCAGGTGTATATCAGTATGTAGTGTCTCTACTTGAAAGAGTCCTCTCCTGCTGATGTTCAGGTGTATATCAGTATGTAGTGTCTCTACTTTAAAGAGTGCTCTCCTGCTGATGTTCAGGTGTATATCAGTATGTAGTGTCTCTACTTGAAAGAGTCCTCTCCTGCTGATGTTCAGGTGTATATCAGTATGTAGTGTCTCTACTTTAAAGAGTGCTCTCCTGCTGATGTTCAGGTGTATATCAGTATGTAGTGTCTCTACTTTAAAGAGTCCTCTCCTGCTGATGTTCAGGAGTATATCAGTATATAGTGTCTCTACTTTAAAGAGTCCTCTCCTGCTGATGTTCAGGTGTATATCAGTATTTAGTGTCTCTACTTTAAAGAGTCCTCTCCTGCTGATGTTCAGGTGTATATCAGTATGTAGTGTCTCTACTTGAAAGAGTCCTCTCCTGCTGATGTTCAGGTGTATATCAGTATGTAGTGTCTCTACTTTAAAGAGTGCTCTCCTGCTGATGTTCAGGTGTATATCAGTATGTAGTGTCTCTACTTTAAAGAGTCCTCTCCTGCTGATGTTCAGGAGTATATCAGTATATAGTGTCTCTACTTTAAAGAGTCCTCTCCTGCTGATGTTCAGGTGTATATCAGTATTTAGTGTCTCTACTTTAAAGAGTCCTCTCCTGCTGATGTTCAGGTGTATATCAGTATGTAGTGTCTCTACTTTAAAGAGTCCTCTCCTGCTGATGTTCAGGTGTATATCAGTATGTAGTGTCTCTACTTTAAAGAGTCCTCTCCTGCTGATGTTCAGGTGTATATCAGTATGTAGTGTCTCTTCTTTAAAGAGTCCTCTCCTGCTGATGTTCAGGTGTATATCAGTATGTAGTGTCTCTACTTTAAAGAGTCCTCTCCTGCTGATGTTCAGGAGTATATCAGTATATAGTGTCTCTACTTTAAAGAGTCCTCTCCTGCTGATGTTCAGGTGTATATCAGTATTTAGTGTCTCTACTTTAAAGAGTCCTCTCCTGCTGATGTTCAGGTGTATATCAGTATGTAGTGTCTCTACTTTAAAGAGTCCTCTCCTGCTGATGTTCAGGTGTATATCAGTATGTAGTGTCTCTACTTTAAAGAGTCCTCTCCTGCTGATGTTCAGGTGTATATCAGTATGTAGTGTCTCTTCTTTAAAGAGTCCTCTTCTGCTGATGTTCAGGTGTATATCAGTATGTACTTTTTTAGTGAATCAAAGCTAAGTATATATGAATATGAATGAACGGGTACTTTTATGATGTTTAGGGGCATTTTTAGCTCATTTCTATCTCCTTATTACCTCCTGGTTTCAGTGAAACTCACCTTTCTTTCTTCCCCAGGTGTGGCTCCTGTTCGAGTACCCGGAGAGCTCGGGTCCGGCGCGAGGCATCGCCATCGTCTCCGTGCTCGTCATCCTCATCTCCATCGTCATCTTCTGCCTGGAGACGCTGCCCGAGTTTCGTGAGGATTCTCAGCAGCTGTTCCAGCAGGTAGAGAGGGCAAAACACATCCTTTACTCAAGTAGAAGTACAGATACTCGTGTTTAAAAATACTCTGGTGAAAGTAGAAGTACTGACTAAACTTCTTGACTCAAGTGAAAGTAAAGAGGCTTTGAAGTGTACTTCAGTAAAAAGTACCCATAACTAGCAGCTGTTTTAAAGAGTACCTGACCTCCCTTTATATTAATAGAACAATAATGTCATTGTTAGCTAATGAATGTTTCCATGCTGAACAACGGCAACATGACAACGTTTTCATTGGTCCCTCTTCTTTAGAGAAGACCAGGAAATGATGGATACACGGATCGTGTTCAAATCAATAGGCACGCAATGACTCTAAATAATAATGATCACGCCACCAAACACACATTCAAACTAAAGGAACCAGCCTGTTTGGGAAATGTGAGAAGTAGAAAGTACAGGTATTTGGGTTCAACATGTAAGAAGTAGAAAGTACAGGTGTTTGTGTTCAACATGTGAGAAGTAGAAAGTACAGGTATTTGTGTTCAACATGTAAGAAGTAGAAAGTACAGGTATTTGTGTTCAACATGTAAGAAGTAGAAAGTACAGGTATTTGTGATCAACATGTAAGAAGTAGAAAGTACAGGTATTTGTGATCAACATGTAAGAAGTAGAAAGTACAGGTATTTGTGTTCAACATGTAAGAAGTAGAAAGTACAGGTATTTGAGTTCAACATGTAAGAAGTAGAAAGTACAGGTATTTGAGTTCAACATGTAAGAAGTAGATAGTACAGGTATTTGTGTTCAACATGTAAGAAGTAGAAAGTAAAAAGTGTTTAGAAAAATAAGTAGTGGAGTAAAGTACTGATACCAGAGACATGTACTTAGATCGACAGATGAGTACTTTATTGATCCCAATTTGGGAAATGTTTGCGTTGCAGCAGCATAAAAACATAAATAAATTAAGATACTGGAAATAAACAGTCCAAAATATTTCTGAAATAGAAATAAATAGAGTGGCGAAGTCCCTCCCACTTACTTCCGGGGTATGGGACCTTATTCCGGAAAAGTTATGTATTGAAGTCAATGGAGAGAGAAAACTTATCTCTCGATCCCGTTTGAATTGTGCCATGAATTACACATATGATGTTTGTCAATCTTAAAAAATAATTTCCATGTCAAAAAAGTCACAGTTTGTCGTAAAACTGTTGAAATATAAGACTATGAAAAATACGTAACTAGAAAGACTACAAATCCCAGAGTCGCGTAAGTGATGTCACAATTGTTTACCTCCACCATTCAGATACCTAAGATCAGCGCCATATAGATATAATCTATCTATATGGCGCTGGCTAAGATAAGATAACTTTAACAAGATGCCTGTGTGCTTAGTACCAGGTTGTTATCATACCAGCAATGGGTCTTGCTCGTTCTTTTGCTTCCCGTCTGATGAAACGACCAGGAGTGGCTTGATCAAGTTAGCTACCTAGCTAGTAGCTAGCACGTTAGTTAGCATTACAGCCTTGTCATTTTTATTAGCCTTAACATGAAGTAACATTAAGTAACCCAAAATGTTAAACAGTAAGAGTAGTAGTCATATTTCGTGAACCCTTTGAATAGTACTGTCACCGGTGTGATCATTCTATAATACACCATTTAATTCCGGGGGAGAAATGCTAACGCTAACGTTAGCATCGGCGATCTTTTCTACTTCATGCTATCTGCACAAATGGTTGACATTAAACATTAAAACGACCAGGCAGTTCAGAGAGAATCAAAGGAAGGCAGGCTTTGCATGACATTCTTCAGGACGTGTTTCATTGTGGTGATAGTGAGGGTAGTCAATCGTTTGTTGACAAGACAGTAGTGACGGCCATCTTGGTGACGTGTGTGGTTGACCAGAGATGTAGTTCATTGAGCCTTTCACACAAACAAATGTGTTACTTCACAGTTTTACGACACATTTTAATTTTTTTGACTTGCAAAATTATCTTTTAAATTCACAAACATCATATGTGTAATTCGTGGCACAATTCAAACGGGATCGAAAGATAATCTTTCTCTCTCCATTGACTTCAATACATAACTTTTCCGAAATAAGGTCCCATGGGGCTCAACCGGAAGGGGAGGGACTTCGCCACTCTATAGCATTAAACAGTTTAAAACATTTATATACATGTGGAACAAATATTTTTAAAAAAGCTGTTGATGAAAAACATCAATATATCCCAGATCTCAGATATATCCAGAGCCTGTCTCTGATTGGCTGAAACACCAAACAGATCATTGCAGCATTACCCATAATCCCCTCTGTTTCAGCCCTGTTTCCAAAGTGCTGATTCTCTGTCTGTTACTTCAGATGAAAATAAGGAGCCCCTCCCCACGCCCCTCTGAGAGAGATTTGGTTAAAAAGAACTCAATGGTGCTCTAGGAGGAGATTCAGGTGATAAGGGGGGGGGGGGGGGGGGGGGTACCTTGGTTGCTGATTGGCTAATGGTTACACAAGACAAAACATCGTTATGACATCATCAAGTGGCCAAAATCTGATCAGCTCATTTTCAGACAGGTTTTTATAGAAATGGATCAAAAAGAGAGAAAATCTTTGTTCCTGAAACTTTCAGAGTCTCTTTCCACAGAGGGGACACATGTTGATGAAGAAGAGACATGAAGAAGAGGGGACACATGTTGATGAAGAAGAGACATGAAGAAGAGGGGACACATGTTGATGAAGAAGAGACATGAAGAAGAGGGGACACATGTTGATGAAGAAGAGACATGAAGAAGAGGGGACACATGTTGATGAAGAAGAGACATGAAGAAGAGGGGACACATGTTGATGAAGAAGAGACATGAAGAAGAGGGGACACATGTTGATGAAGAAGAGACATGAAGAAGAGGGGACACATGTTGATGAAGAAGAGACATGAAGAAGAGGGGACACATGTTGATGTAGAAGAGACATGAAGAAGAGGGGACACATGTTGATGAAGAAGAGACATGAAGAAGAGGGGACACATGGTGATGTAGAAGAGACATGAAGAAGAGGGGACACATGTTGATGAAGAAGAGACATGAAGAAGAGGGGACACATGTTGATGAAGAAGAGACATGAAGAAGAGGGGACACATGTTGATGAAGAAGAGACATGAAGAAGAGGGGACACATGTTGATGTAGAAGAGACATGAAGAAGAGGGGACACATGTTGATGAAGAAGAGGGGACACATGTTGATGAAGAAGAGACATGAAGAAGAGGGGACACATGTTGATGAAGAAGAGACATGAAGAAGAGGGGACACATGTTGATGTAGAAGAGACATGAAGAAGAGGGGACACATGTTGATGTAGAAGAGACATGAAGAAGAGGGGACACATGTTGATGTAGAAGAGACATGAAGAAGAGGGGACACATGTTGATGTAGAAGAGACATGAAGAAGAGGGGACACATGTTGATGAAGAAGAGACATGAAGAAGAGGGGACACATGTTGATGAAGAAGAGACATGAAGAAGAGGGGACACATGGTGATGTAGAAGAGACATGAAGAAGAGGGGACACATGTTGATGAAGAAGAGACATGAAGACGAGGGGACACATGGTGATGTAGAAGAGACATGAAGAAGAGGGGACACATGTTGATGTAGAAGAGACATGAAGAAGAGGGGACACATGTTGATGAAGAAGAGACATGAAGAAGAGGGGACACATGTTGATGTAGAAGAGACATGAAGAAGAGGGGACACATGTTGATGTAGAAGAGACATGAAGAAGAGTGGACACATGTTGATGAAGAAGAGACATGAAGAAGAGGGGACACATGTTGATGTAGAAGAGACATGAAGAAGAGGGGACACATGTTGATGTAGAAGAGACGTGAAGAAGAGGGGACACATGTTGATGTAGAAGAGGGGACACATGTTGATGAAGAAGAGACATGAAGAAGAGGGGACACATGTTGATGTAGAAGAGGGGACACATGTTGATGAAGAAGAGACATGAAGAAGAGGGGACACATGGTGATGTAGAAGAGACATGAAGAAGAGGGGACACATGTTGATGTAGAAGAGACATGAAGAAGAGGGGACACATGGTGATGTAGAAGAGACATGAAGAAGAGGGGACACATGTTGATGAAGAAGAGACATGAAGAAGAGGGGACACATGGTGATGTAGAAGAGACATGAAGAAGAGGGGACACATGTTGATGTAGAAGAGACATGAAGAAGAGGGGACACATGTTGATGTAGAAGAGACATGAAGAAGAGGGGACACATGTTGATGAAGAAGAGACATGAAGAAGAGGGGACACATGTTGATGTAGAAGAGACATGAAGAAGAGGGGACACATGTTGATGAAGAAGAGACATGAAGAAGAGCGGACACATGTTGATGAAGAAGAGACATGAAGAAGAGGGGACACATGTTGATGTAGAAGAGACATGAAGAAGAGGGGACACATGTTGATGTAGAAGAGACATGAAGAAGAGGGGACACATGTTGATGTAGAAGAGACATGAAGAAGAGCGGACACATGTTGATGAAGAAGAGACATGAAGAAGAGGGGACACATGTTGATGAAGAAGAGACATGAAGAAGAGGGGACACATGTTGATGTAGAAGAGACATGAGAAGAGGGACAATGTGCTGAAGAAGACATGAAGGGGACACATGTTGCTGAAGAAGAGACATGAAGAAGAGGGGACACATGTTGATGTAGAAGAGACATGAAGAAGAGGGGACACATGTTGATGTAGAAGAGACATGAAGAAGAGGGGACACATGTTGATGTAGAAGAGACATGAAGAAGAGGGGACACATGTTGATGTAGAAGAGACATGAAGAAGAGGGGACACATGTTGATGTAGAAGAGACATGAAGAAGAGGGGACACATGTTGATGTAGAAGAGACATGAAGAAGAGGGGACACATGTTGATGTAGAAGAGACATGAAGAAGAGCGGACACATGTTGATGTAGAAGAGACATGAAGAAGAGGGGACACATGTTGATGTAGAAGAGACATGAAGAAGAGGGGACACATGTTGATGTAGAAGAGACATGAAGAAGAGGGGACACATGTTGATGTAGAAGAGACATGAAGAAGAGGGGACACATGTTGATGTAGAAGAGACGTGAGGAAGAGGGTTTTACAGAATAGGTGACCTTTAAATCCAGTAACGAAGTATCTTCTCTCCTCCACTTCCCCCCCCCTCTGCCCTCAGGTGAACGGCACCTCGACTCGAGTGAAGAAGCCGAACCCCTTCACCGACCCGTTCTTCATCGTGGAAACGCTCTGCATCATCTGGTTCTCCTTCGAGCTGCTGGTTCGATCCCTGGCGTGCCCGAGCAAAGCGGCGTTCTTCAGGAACATCATGAACACCATCGACATCGTGGCCATCATCCCTTACTTCATCACGCTGGGTCTGGTGCTGGCGGAGCACCAGGGGACCGGGCAGCAGGCCATGAGCCTCGCCATCCTGAGGGTCATCCGCCTGGTCAGGGTCTTCAGGATCTTCAAGCTGTCCCGACACTCCAAGGGGCTGCAGATCCTCGGGAAGACCCTGCAGGTGGAGTACTACACACCTAGGATATGATACGACATGACTACTTTTGTGAGGGGAGTTAGAGCAGTGATTCTTAACCAGTGTGCCGAGAGGATTGTCCAATTTCTTAACTTAGTGTGTCCAAAAGATATGAGTTAGTCGCTGTTGACCCTCTGTGTCTGGATAAGTAATGAAATACTCTTCCAGGCCAGTGGGGGCAGTAGGGAGGGCGTGAATGACCTTGTTCATTAAAGACTGTAGAGGTTGTGGGGACTAAACGAACAGCGATGGAACCGGATCCCGCACAAAACCCTAAGTCAGATGTAGAGCCTGGTTTTAGTGTTGGTGGAAAAGAAGAGGGACGGGGAGCTCGAGGAAATACAGAGAAAGTTATCCTTTTTTTAAATGTACTTTCCAAACTAAACACCCTCAAATGATCAAAAACCCTTCAAAGGTGTCTGAGATCTCAAAGAGAAAGCAGCTGAACTCAGAGCCAGATTGAGAGACTAGTCATTACATATCAATACGTTGTGTTAGACTACAATCAGTGGGTTGGTGGTGGGCCGCTCAAAACAGGTCAAAAACATTGAACTGGACAACACCCTCAGAGAGTCAAATAACTATCAGTGTATTAGCATTAGCAGATGTCTAAGGTATTGGGCAATGTTACACAACAACAACAACAACAACTGTTGATCACAACAAGCATTAGGAGCATGTCAGTGACCCTGAGATACCAGGTTTGTAAAAAGAGGGATACAGGGGATAAAAATGCACTTCATCCCCTGTACCCCCCCCTCAATGACTGTTTACGTCGGTGTGTCCGTCACTGTTCACTGTCACCTGTTGGACTTTGTGATCTGAACACTTGTTTCTTCCTCCAGGCCAGCATGAGGGAGCTGGGCCTTCTCATCTTCTTCCTCTTCATCGGAGTCATCCTCTTCTCCAGCGCTGTGTATTTCGCAGAAACAGACGACCCAGATTCAGGTTTCTCCAGCATCCCGGACGCCTTCTGGTGGGCCGTGGTCTCCATGACGACGGTGGGATACGGAGACATGTGTCCGGTGACCATCGGAGGAAAGATCGTGGGCTCGCTGTGCGCCATCGCCGGGGTTTTAACCATCGCTCTGCCCGTTCCTGTCATCGTGTCCAACTTCAACTACTTCTACCACCGGGAGACGGACCACGAGGAGCACTTCCAGTACAAACACGTGACCTGTGGACAGCAGTTTGACAACAAGGACGAGTTCCTGGAGAGCAGCGAGGAGGACGAGGAGTCTCTGAAACACACCAACTGCAGCCCGAGGAAGGCCTACACGGGGAAGCTCACCGACGTCTGAGGGGGGGGGACGTCGGGGTCTTTGGAGATAGAGTTACGCAGCAACAAGGATTGAGGTTTAGCACCAAGACAAGGATTCATTTAGGAGTTAGGGTCCTCATGTACCCAACAAACTGTTCTTCCATTACAAACTGTGGGCGGGAGAAAGGGATCCCAGTTTGCACCGAGACAAGGATTCATTTAGGGGTTAGGGTCCTCATGTATACCCCAACAACTGTTCTTCCTTTACACAAGGCCTGAGTGGAGAAAGGGGAACGTTTAGGAGGATTTAAATCCATGTTTACCCAAAAACCTGATATCCATCACACTGTGGGAGAGAGAGAGAGAGATGGGTTCATTTAGGGGTTAGGGTCCTCAGTTAGATCCAAAAACTGTTCTTTAGGGTGGATTATAATCAGAGGGGGAGGAAGTACTCAGATCTTGAGTCAAAGTAGAAGTACTCAGATCTTGTACTTGAGTCAAAGTAGAAGTACTCAGATCTTGTACTTGAGTCAAAGTAGAAGTACTCAGATCTTGTACTTGAGTCAAAGTAGAAGTACTCAGATCTTGTACTTGAGTCAAAGTAGAAGTACTCAGATCTTGTACTTGAGTCAAAGTAGAAGTACTCAGATCTTGTACTTGAGTAAAAGTAGAAGTACTCAGGTCTTGTTCTTGAGTCAAAGTAGAAGTACTCAGATCTTGTACTTGAGTAAAAGTAGAAGTACTCAGGTCTTGTTCTTGAGTAAAAGTAGAAGTACTCAGGTCTTGTACTTGAGTAAAAGTAGAAGTACCAGAGTGTAGGAATACTCTGTTACAGTAAAAGTCCTGCATTCAAAATGTTCCTCAAGTAAAAGTAGAAAAGTATTCTCATCAAAATATAGTGAAAGTAGCGACAGTAAAAGTAGTCATTGTGCAGATTGGTCCATTTCAGAATAATATATATGATATGTTTTATAATGATTGATCATTAAAGTTTAGTGGAGTAGAAGTACAAATTAGTACAAAATAAAAATACTCAAGTAAAGTACCTTCAAAGTGTACTTGAGTAAATGTACTTAGTTACTTTCCACCTCTGATTATAATCCACTTGTATCTAAAGACTGTCTTCCTTTACGCGGCCTGACGGACAGCCAAGCACTTTATTAATGTTCTTTTGAATGTTTATCTTAGTAAAGGAGTAATTTATTGCCATAATGATTCAGGTTTAAAGTTTACATTTGCTTATTTGTATATTATTTGAAGGATGAGGGACACAACACAGGACCAATTTCATCTAAATACACAAAAAAAGCAGTTCTCTTTTACCCAAACCAGCAGCGCCACCAAGTGGATGAAACGCAGCGCTGCGTCTCCAAATGAAATGGAAGCAGTTTCTATAGCAACCTTCAGACTTTCTGTATTGTCTGACACGGGAGTGAAGGACGAGCCACGGAAACCACCATGTTGTGCAAAAAGCCTCCATGTTGTCTGATCCAGAGCCTCATCTCAACATTTATCAGTAAAAAATATACAATTCAACACATTTCCTGCAAGATACGTCCATGCATCTGCAGGGAACATCATCTAAACAACACATTATGCTCTAATTATGATATTCTAGGGTTACAATTCACAACAAATAACCAGAAATGTCCATCACAAGTTCTCAGAGACACTACTGAGTTTATATTTGTATATATAAAAAGGGATAGGATGTAATAAAACAGAAAGGAAATTGTCACATTCAATAGTTTGAGGGAAAAATTCGGGATGTTTTAGAGCTCGACTGATGCTGATTTTGGGATGGATTTGCCCAATATGGACACCAAGATACTAATTTAGTACCTTAAGCTGGACACTTTAGCGTCAACGAGCAGTTTTCTTGATAGTTTGTATGGAAAAGCAAACATTTAATTAACAAAACACCCAAAAAACAACAAAATCTGATTTAAAAAAAGACTTTAAAATGCCATGTATGGAAGGTAAAAGGTGCCATAATGTGAATCTTTGGCATTGACGTTATTTGATCTGAAAAAAATTACAAATTCATTGGCACCTGTCACCTTTAGTAAAGTTTAGTAGTTGTTTAAAATCTATTGATATTGAATACTTGCCACTATTTTAAGCATCTTAAGTAAGTCTAAACAAACGTCCAATTAGGTTATGATCTTCCAGTCACATGACCCAAGAGATAAAACTTATTATTATTGAAAAAGGGTTTCAAAAGTCAACATTTCAACGTCATAAACGCAGATCTATAAGTCAACACACTGAATCGCCTGCTGTGTTTTCCATAAACACCTCCGTCATTAAAGCTCCTTAGTTTCTGCTCAACAACACCTGATGGGAAAAAAGGGAATTTCTTTTGGGAAGAAACTGAGGATTTAAAGAGTTTCCTGGAGACGTTGGATTATTATCTGATGGATGGAGTTTAATCATCGACGGAACGACGGACAGACGATGGACGACCAACATCTGGACGTCTCGTCACAAAGAGAGGTGAGTTAAACCAGAAAACCTTTAAGTTGATCCTGTGTTGATTTGTCACAAGAACTGATGATTTAGTATAAATTTAAAGCCAAAATCCTGGAAAATGTGTTGTTTACTACAATAACGTTAAGACTGGGATGCAATGTTGACAGAGGTGGAAGTTAATTTACTAAAGTATTCCGGTTTATATGGTCATACTTGTAACTTTTCTCCATGTTATGCTGCTTTATCCTTCTACTGCACTACATTTCAGCTGCAATTAAAGCACATTTATTCAACCCTCATAGTCCGGTTGAAGATATACTTACAGAGTATACAGAGTATATAATATGATGCAGTACTGACTGATAATATACACAACAGGTAAGCATCTCAACTGTGCTTTAAAATGCTCTTACATGTACTTGTAAGACATACAAACAGAATGGTATTATAAAAAAAGGTATAACTTAGCATGAGTTATCTTAAGCAAAGCTAACCCACATGCTAACATTCAAAAGTCCACCAATCAAAACACAAAGATTGATTTTTCTGTAGTTTCTTTTAGTTTTTGTAAGACTGTAAAAATACAGAGATGTAAAGAAAAATCTGTATTCAAACTTTATCCATCTAGACCAGGGATGGGCAACTTGGATGGTGGTGGGGGCCACATAATGTATGTACTGGCCACCAGGGGGCCGCAGATTCACTTGGAACACACACACACACACATTCCATGTATTGTATGTAATTATTAACAAATATACTAAGTCTGACATCTTCATTGACATTTTACAATCTTTCAGGGAACATCCTCTAATAAGCTCACTAAACAAATATCAGTTCACAGAAATGTTATTTAATTTTTACAAGTGGTATGTTTGTATTGAACAGGTTATTTAACAGTGGAATACAACTATTTTAAAGTGGACCTATCATGCTATATTTGAATAATATAGTGTAGGACCATACCTATATAAGGCATATTTATACTTTTTTTTTTTCAAAATACCAAACAGATCATGCATTTTAGCCATGCCTCATTTCGCTCAATTTGACCATTTCTAGCTCTGTTTTTGCAAGGGCAGATTCAGTGAGAACAGCACCATCTACTGGCCTGGCATATGTACTACAGCGTCTCCAGCGCTTTCGAACGGCAATGGCCGTGGCTGTCTCCTCCTGATTGGTGGAGTTGGCCCAATAGCCGTAGCGCCACCGTCCTGACGTCAGGACAGTGTTCAAATCTGGATCAGTTTTTATCAGATCCGTTGCAGCCCCTTTTTTAGAGATTTGGGTATGGAGGAAAATAGAGAGGGTTGTGTTTTCTGACACTTGGTGAGTTCCCTGGAACACCGGGGACACATATTCATGTAGAAAAGACGTACAAAAGTGCATTTTGCATGATAGGTCCCCTTTAAACTATTGGAAAGCACGGAAAATGTGTGTGCATCAAGATTAAACATTAAGATGACATAAACATGAAGTCATGAACACTAACCCACTAAATAAATCAAAGCCATTACTCTGACATGTTTTCAAAAAGCCCTCCAAAAAATTCAATACTTCCTATTTTATGAGATGTTTTGATGGTTGGCAGCAAAGTGCATAACCGCCCCCTACAGGACTGGAGGGTGAAGCAGTGGATACATGGCAGAATCAAAATGTACCAAAATGATCTGACCTATTATCAACAAAATACGAAAATAAATTAAAATAAGAAAGAAAAAACCCAATAATAATAATAACAGAAAAAAAAAGAAAAAAAACATTACAATACAAAAAAGTCTAATTACAATCGAGCAATAAATCCACATTTATCACAAGCACACAGCATCAATCACAGGTTAAAACTGGTCTAATAAGTGAGTTTTGGTGTTTTAAAGGTTGTGGGGTTCAGAGTTCTGGAGGTGTTGGAGTTTGTTGAGGACGTTGGATGATGTTCACTTAAAGGTGTGGTCCAACATAAGGTTCTCATTACATTGAAGGCCATTAACTGCTTTGTGTTTTACTCTGGGTACAAAAGTATGCATGTCAGATGATAAATACTGTGAGGTATTAGTACTTATCCTGCAGACAGATGTGTGAATGCAGTGTGTTGTCAGTGCAGGTGTGAGCCAGCAGGGGGCAGCAGCTTCCTGCAGCTGGATCACATCTAGAGACTTTCAATAATAAAACACCTGCAGGGTCAACATGGTTTATTACACCTGCATTTACTGTATTATACACATTTTAATATTTTATTGTCGTTATATTATAGAACAAGATGCACTTTAAAAAAAATATGTATCAAATGTTATTTAATTGTATTTAATTAATTCTGATTCAAATTCATATACAGATAAATCAAATTGTTATTTTATGAATTATCTACTTTTATTTATTTTAGTTCTCTTAGGTCTTTTTTATTTGTTATTTCTTGTTGTATGTATTTATGGGTGTATCCCCTGCGCGGTGTGACAGGTTTGTGGCTGCAGGTCAGAGGTCAGCGGTATTTAAAGACTTGTGTGTCACTTTTACACTTTGATGCATGGCGGCTGCAGACCTTGAAGCAGCGACACTAAAACAAACACTGTGACAATAGCTGCTGGTTGCCATGGTGACGGGACCACAACAACAACACAAAAATGTTGTGTTGTTGTCAGTGGCGGCCGGTCCATAGGGGCGCTAGGGGCGCCGCCCCACCTCTTCCCATATTGAAAAAAAATAAAAATAATGATAATTAAAATTAAAATTAAAAAAAAAAAAAATGTTTAAAAAAAAATATATGTTTTTATTTTTATTTTTAATGAACAAGGTAAATATTATATAATTGGTATCAGTAAAATGTATAATCTACAATAAAATCTCGTTTAAAATTGTGTTACGATGTCTAAAGTTACTGATAAGTCACATGTTTCCTGCCTGGCCTTGCCCATGCACCTTCTCTCGTCTGGGCGCTAAGAGAGGAGCCTTCAACCAGTGCAGCATCAGCCA